CGGTCAAATTGGTACACTGTGGGAGGAGTCTGCCTCGGTCTGTAGTGGAGGCACTGCCCTCTGCCTGGGATCTTGGGAGTATATTTTAACTGATCTTTGCAGCAGCAGGACATTGGCTGCAGTGTTCCTCCTGCTTTACCTGGGGCAGGTTCAGGTATGATGTCTTTCATTGTATCAAGGCTGACCGTGTAGTTTTGATAAGAGGTTGGACAATGGTTTTATACTGGATGCCTTGCTAGGGATGATCCTGGCTCAGGCCAGGCTTGGACTAGATGACCTCTACAGGTCCCTTCCAGCCCCACTTCTCTATGACAGCCTTTCAAGGGGACTGGTGTTCAAGAGAGTGGCCCACAGAATCGCAATGTTGGAAGGGACCTCTAGGGTCATCTGGCCCAGTCCCCTGCATGAATGCAGGCATGCTGCTCCTAAATCATCCCTGACCAATGGTTATCCTTCTTCCTCCTGAACAGCTTCAAGGCCAGAGACCTTACAGTTTCCTAGGGCAATCTATTCCACTGCTTCACTGCTCTAACACTAAGGAAGTTTTCCCTGAGATTTCACCTCCATCTATACTGCTGCAGTTTCCAGTCATTACTTCACATCCTGGGGACAGCGGCAACAGCACAGTGGGAGAGTAGTTTCCCCCTCCCCTCCCGGTAGGCCCCCAGGAGCAGGTGTGGGGAGAGGGAACTGCCTCCTCCGTCCATCCCTGCTGCTGCTCTCCAGTCCTGTCCTCAGCTCTGCCCAGCCCCCATGCAGCCTGGGTGGGCAAACACAGCGCTGGAGCTTCACCCTTCCCCTGGGACAGTGAGGAAAGCAGCAGTGGTAGGTCCAATAGGGATGGAAGGAGTAGGGAGGGGACGGGACATGCCTTGAGCACGAAGGGGAGATTTTCGCCTGCTTTAGGGACTTTACAAAGTCTCCAGAGGCACCTCCCATGACAGGGGGGAAGGGGGGAGAAGAGGGGAAACTCTCTAGTCTGGCATCCAAATCATGAATAAACATGTCAAATTGCATGTGCTGGACCCAGGACAGACCCCTGTGGAACCTGTCATTCCAGCATGGATCCCTTTGCTTGAAGTTACACAGCTAAGTATCTATCCACCTTGTAGTAATTTTATTTAGCCCACATTTCTCCAGTTAGCTTATAAGAAAGTCATGTGGGACTTCGTTGAAAGGCTTACTAAAGTCCAAGGACACTATGTACACCGCATGTCCTTCATCCACCTCGCTAGTTGTGTTGCTAACGAAGGAGATCAAATCAATTTGGCACGATTTGTTCTTAAATCTATGCTAACTGCTAATGATTTGATAGACTACTCTGTGCAGGTCCTCTCACAGCATTTGATGAAGTGAACTCAGGCTCATGAAAGCTTATGCATCTCTGATTTAGTTAGTCTATAAGGTGCACCTCTACCCTGCGTTCTACCTGACTTCAGATTAACACAGCTAACTACTGCTCTTCCAATGATCAGCCTTTCTTCCTCCAGATGTTACAAACTGACTTTAATATGCTCCAGTAACTTCCCAGTTATTGAAGTCAGACTAACAAGGGGCCTGGGTCTTTCTTCTAGCCCTTTTACAGTCCTCTGGCACCTAGCTTGTCTCCCACAACTATAAATATAAACTGACTTATAAACTAACTCAAACCAGTCAAATGCTCTCTGATGGTCTCTTCTGTTACCAGCCCCCCGCTTCCCCCCTTCCTGTGCAAGTCATTTTTATTAGCTGTCTGGTAGCAGGAGGCAGCCTGTGGAAGAGGTTCTCCAGGAAGGCTGGGGTCTGCTTGGGGCTGGCACAGCTTGCTGGTTCAGATGGACCAGGGATTGAAGCCTGGGAGCTCATATGAATGGGAGACGAACCTGCCTGGTGCCCAGATAAAACCACTTCTTCTAGCCAGCCCCCCACAAGTCTCTACCCCAGTGCTTGGAGGCTCCTGCTCCCCCCATAACAGCTCTTCCTGCGCAGCCTCGTGTCCTCTGGCCCTCCCCCTAGCCAGTGCTCGTCTCGCTGGCCTTCCCAGGCAGACTGCCACCAGCCATTTACAGTACTTTAATCTCCATCTGTAAATACTTAAACTTATTAAGGGGAATTATAAATGGTTCAATATTGACATGGCAAGAGGCTTCAAGTGGGGTTCCCCAGGGGTCTGTCCCAGGTCTGGTGCTGTTTGCCTTGTTTGTTAGTGGCTTGGACACTGGAATAAAAGCTTCCCGAGCAAATCTGTAGTTGGCCTGAAACTGGGAAGGACTGCAAACACGCCAGAGAACACACCAGCCCTGGGGGTCCAGAAGGCCTGAAATAAATGTGCACAGAAAGGAGAAATTTGCATGTGAGATTTCAAATGATAACTGGTTTAGGAAGCAGTACATGACACAATAGAGTTTGGGGACTGCTGTGATAGACAATCCAAATTAACAGATGTTCTGGGGGAGGCAGGAATTTCTGTTCATCTAGTATAGAGATGAGAAAGGGCAGCTAATGCGATAGAAAGTTAGACCATGAATGCACTAAGGGAAATGCACATGTACATTAACTGTAGAATTTCCTGCTCCAAAATATCACAGAGATCAAGAGTTTACCAGGACTCAGAAGAGCATTTAACGTTTACAAGAAAAATGAGAACCTACAGACTGTCATTAGTCAGGGTTTGATATACAAAAGGCATCAATCCCCCTGTCTCAAGACAAAAACTGGGGCTAGGAAGACACATGCTGAGCTGTTATTTCCTTGTCAGCTGTGTGGGGATTTAGCACACCCCTTGAAGCATCTGGTTCTTCTGGCAGCACCTCACCAGATGGACCCAGGCTGATCAGGACTGGCAAGGCCAGTATCGTATGGCACACAGATATGGGGGTAGCCTGACGGTGCTTTAGCTCAGGCATATCTTACCCCTGGAGTGCATGGCTAAGCAGCTCTAGAGGGTTATTTTTAAGTAACTTTGCATGGACTTTCTGGGGAATGGCTGAGCGTGGGTGGAGTGCCAGGCAGGAAAAGGCAGCATGGGCAGTGGGATGGAGAAGGGACAGGAGAGAGTGATTCTATCTGTTAAACTGCTCTAAAAGAAGCCAGCCGCAGGCTCAAGGCCAGACTGTGTGAACCCCCTGGAAGTGGGATGAAGGGGCATGGCTGTGGGTGGATGGAGCTGTGGGGGTGCAACCCCTTCCTCAAGGCCCAGGTATACAGCAAGAGCAGTCAGGCTGCAGTCTCTCTGCATCCAGGGCAGAGATGCACCAGGGCCATGGCCTCACTTACACCCCACCCCTTACAAGGGAGCATGGCAGGAGCAGTTGCTGTGCTCCCCAAGTCCTGGGGGCTGTAGTTGTCCAGCGGTAACACGGGGCATATGAGGCTTCTCTGCCTTTCCACTTGGCTCCTTCAGCCATGTGGCAGCAGCATACGACAGGGGAACTGCGTCTGGGTTTGGGGCTGAGAGTCCTGCAGGAGCCTCAAGCTGTCACTGAAGTGTCTGACAATAACGTTTTTCTGTTTTTCCAAATACTGATCATATTTTCTTTTTGCTCTGAAAATTGATTTACAGATGATTGTGCCAAGACAATGACCATTTTGTGGGACGTTTCTGTCCTTTGCTACTGTACCAGCCAGTCCCACAATGTAATGCTTTTCTTTTGTCCTTATGAATGGACGTTTTAGTGAATTGCATACATACATTAAGGCAAACTAGGATCTTGGCACAGACGTCCCATTGATATTCGTGGAAGTTCCATACGGGGAACCTAACCCTCGAATGTAGCTGCAGGCTTGCGAGACAATTGTATCAAAACATTCCTGAATGCAAATACACGAGGCCTCTTAGAAAACCATGAAAATAAACTTTAGAGGACACCTAACCTTAGATGACTGGAGATTAACAGCATAGAAAACAGGATGGGAAAAGAATGAGCTGCAGTCTGCTTCCAAGCTATCTTCATAGATTTCATAGACATTAGGGCTGGAAGGGACCTCGCAAGATCATCAGGTCCAGCCCCCTGCCCAGGGGCAGTAGGTCAGCTAGGGTCAAAGGACCCCAGCAAGATAAGTGTCCAAATGCTTCTTGAAAGTGTCCAGAGTAGGTGCTTGCACCACCTCTGGGGGAGTCTGTCCCAGGCCTTGCAGGGCTTGGACAGCAAAGAAGTTTTTCCTTATGTCCAGCCTGAAACAGTCTTGCAGGAGTTTCTGACTGCTGGACCTTGTCATCCCTTGGGGCGCTCTGGTGAGCAGGCGTTCCCCCAGATCCTGATGCACACCCCTTACGTACTTATAGAAAGCCACCAGGTCCCCCCTGAGTCTGCGCTTCTCCAGGCTGAAGAGTCCCATGGCTCTCAGCCTCTCTTCATAAGGCCTGTTTTCCTGAACTCTGATCATGCATGTGGCTCTCCTCTGCACTCTCTCAAGCTTCTCCACATCCTTCTTGAATTGCAGAGCCCAGAACTGGACGCAGTACTCCAGCTGTGGCCTCACCAAGGCCGAGTACAGCGGGAGGATGACATCCTGGGTCTTGCTCGAGATGCATCAGTAGATGCAAGCCAGAGTTTTGTTTGCTTTCTTAGCTGTAGTATTGCACTGGTGGCTCATATTCATCTTGTGGTCCATCATGACCCCCCAAGTCTCTTTTGGTCACGGTGCTATTGAGCATAGCATTGCCAAGCCTATAAATGTGATGTGGATTTTTATTCCTGAGGAGCACCTTGCATTTCTCCATATTGAATGCCATCAGGTATTCATTCACCCACCTTGCAAGCCTACTGAGGTTGGTCTGGATCACCAGCCTATCCTCAGGTGTGGATAAGTTCATGCAGCCTGGGCCCTGTTTCAGGAGTGACTCGAATCTGGGTGTGACTTTGGATCCTGGTGGGGTTCCTCCTTTGGCCCTTCATTCTGCTACCTCCTCCCTCCTGTGGTGCTTACATACCACATAGTGACCCCCTAAAATACACAGACAACTGGACAGATCAACGGCCACGTAATGGCTACCCCTAACGTCCCAGCGTGCTTCTTACCTCCACAGAGCTGTTCGCTGAGCTCCCTGCTGTCGCGTGTCGGGTGTATTGTTTAAACTGCTGGAGACCATCCTGCACTGCTTGCATCACGCCTTCCCCCTTCAGCCGGAAAGAGCCCTCTCTGGGCAAGGAGCGGAGCTCTGACAGACAGGTCTGAAGCCGAGCGAAGCTTTCTTTCACTTGCTGCAAAACAGTATTCAGTGACATTAAAAGAAGGAAATTTAAACCTGATGAAAAGCATTTTCCACACAAAGCTCTCCAGTGTTCAGAAACGGGCTGATTGTGATATGGATCACAAGAACAGCCAGAGCTGTTACAGGGGTGATTTTAGAAACAAGAGAGCTTTCTAAAAGGCTATCAACCCTCTTGCTTAGGGCAGGAGCCACTGGGGAGGTAAGGAGGAAAATGATCCCTGTGGACAGGTGACCCTACAATTGTCAGCTACAGAGTCTTTTGCATGCTTAAAGATCTGGTACTAGATGCTATTGCCCGCTGGCTGGTGGACGAGGTAGGTCACTGGTCTGGGTCAGTTGGACAGTTCTTAGATTCTGGAGGCACAAATCATTAACAGCACGCTACAAGTGCTTGCACTTTATCTCACTTTCTGGCTACGTACAAAGAGCCGACATTTAGACAGCTTGGCAACAGGCATCTCACACTGCGCGCACTTGTCCAGGTTACATAACTTGCGTTACCTAACTGTGACCTCTCCCTAGTGTGGACTGATCAACCTTAGGCAGGAATCCACAAGCAAACATTTGTGAAAGGCATGTATTCATATTTACAAAACGAGCCCAATAACCAATTAATTAGGAATAGAATAGCCCAAGTTATAACAGGAGCAAACCATCTAGCTTAGACATACCAGTGAATCAACTACAGCCCTGAGTCAGGGGAGGTCTGCACTGTGGTCCAGAAGTGGGAACACACCCGAGCTACCTTCGCTCCAGCCTGCTCAGGTCTGGCGGCAGAGCAGCTATGGCAGGAAGCGCTTCCATGAAGATTGCATGAGCCAGCCCCTGAAGGGCTTGAGGGCTGAGGCCTGTGTCACTGTGGCTACTCTGCTTCTGGCCCCTGAGCAACCTCGTTTAAAGGTCCACCAGCTGCCCCAGGCTGCAGAGCAGACAAATGCTGTGCAGTTAAGGGCATGCGGAGAGGGGCAGAAGAAGCTGCAATTTACATCACCCAGACTCTACACCCATTCCTGAATTGGGCTGTCAGCCTCTGCCAGCCTGGGAAATCACATTCATCATCTGCTTCAGAAGGGTGAGAGCAAAGTACTTCTCCCACTCCCTGAAGGCAAGACCCATTAACATAAAAGAGAGGGCTAGATGCTGAGGCTGCTCAGTGTCAGTGAGGCTCCTCGCTGCTCAGGGGTAGTAAAAGGGGCTGCACTGATGGCAGGAGGACCCTGCTAGGCTGCCTATGCCACCTGATTCCCAGGCTTTATGTGCGCAGGGTGGAAGTGAGTGGTAGGGGCTTGTTTCTCAGCAGGGGTCTTGGGGTTGGTAGGGAGGCAGCACAGACAAGCCTCATGATAGTACTTGGTCTCAACAAGAATAGCAGAGTCTAGGTGTCACTTTGGGGGCAAGAATTTCCTTCCATCCAGGCCAAATGTGTTTATACTAAATGCACAAATTATAGAGGGAAACCCAGGAAGAAGGAGGGTCCAAGAAGCCTTGGTCTGAGTAACCGCTATGAGTGGTTTCTTTCCCTCCCTCATTTAGTTTGTTTAAAAACAGGTCAAACCTTTATGTGAACTGCACTCCAGAGATGTTTTTTCAAAGGAAATATGCTAGACTGCAGTTAGTGTGCCAGGGGCTTTAATCCTTAATGCTGTGCGGCTTTGAGTTACTTGGCCCGACTAGCAACTATCAAGAACAGACTGAACACTGGATCAGCTCCTAATCCCATGGCTCCATACCCAGTAAAGTGTTGTGGTGTTCATCCCCAGCCCCCTGCTGTTCCTGGGGCAGTGTCTAGTCCTTGACCTGCTTGGCACAAGCACCCTAAGTGCATTCAAGAGGTTTGTGTGTCACCCTCTGCCTCTCCCCCCCAACACCCTGTTTAAAGAACGCCCCTTTCAACACTGCCCTGGGAATGATAAAACACTGAAGCATTTGTGCATTCTCTGAACTACAGAGAAGAAAAGCTAAGCAAGGCAGAAGCCATACTTCAGTGCGGAAGTGTAATGAGGACCAGGAAAATCCCAGCTGCACAGATGTAAAATGTCTTACTCTGTTGGGGTTTTTTGTTTGGTTTGGTTTGTTTTTTTTAATTATGACGTTGATTTCCTGCTGCCTGCTGTTAGAACTGGCCATTTTCAGTCATTAGGCCTCTACAATTACCTCTGGTTTGTAAGATAAGGACAGTCAGTGCAGGCAGTGCGTGTGCGTGTGCGTGTGCGTGTGCGTGTGCGTGGAGGGAGGGGGGGAGGTAAGCCAGTGGACATTTGGGGAGGCTATGCACATGGCTTTATCCAGACGGTGAGGATGACTGGAAAGTAAAATGCAGCTTCTGCTTCAGCTCTCTCACCCTGCGGACATGACACAGAGTATGAGATACCTAATGGTGATTAATGGAGAGTGCGTAGACACAAGACGTGCATTCTCAGGAGAACAGGCTTGCAGGTAGTCAGCAGAAGTCAAAAGAGACCTTGTTTAAAAGAAACGTGTCTTGAGCTGCAGGCAGCAAGTCTACTTGAACGGATTTGTTTTTACAGGAAAGTGATTCAGTGGAGTCAGTACATGTCTAGTGCATCTATACATGTGTTTGGGGGGGCGGGGGGAGCGTTTTAACTACAGCAGCTCCAAGATCCACTCTAATTAAAGCGTCCACAGCGTCACATGTATTCAGCATCCCGCACTTCAAAATGATGGTGGGGCGCTTGAACTAAAGCTCGTTCGACAAGCTGTAGTTAAAGCGCCCCCACCGAGATTTTGAAGCGCAGGGAGGCTGCTGGAGTGTGCTAATTAACACGCTCCAGACTCGATTAATTGAGTCTGTTCCGACACGTGCTAATTAGCATGTGTTGGAAAAGATGCCCAGCATGTGCACAGGTACCCACAGGCGTGAGACTAGGGAGCTGCTAGGACACGGGTGTTGTATATGTTTGCCCTGGAGCAGGCAGAAAACAGATTGGGCTGCCTTCTGCTCAAGTTCAGACTATGCTGTATTTGGACAGTGTACCAGACAATATCAACACAGCTGGCACTCAGCTGGTTTCTACTGCATTTCTAATCCTCCCGTTATTTACTGCTGTTGCCTGGTCTCTCTCCCCTCTCTGAACCTCTCAGGTTTGTCAAGTCCCCTCTCCTTCATGTGAGCACAGTGTTGCTGAGAGCACAGGCTCTGAAGCTGTGCTCTCCTCACCCAGTGCCCATGCACTTCTCTCTATTCTGTGCCTCCCAGGTGAAGTAGGGATTCTCTGGGCCAACTCCACAGTGAAAGTGGCTGGACTCCAGCCCATCTGGCCAGAGTCACTGGAGCTTCAGGGGGCCTGGTGCCCTGAAATCCAAGCAGCAGAGGTGCCTCACAGCCCGATTCCTTACAGACAAAGGCAGACGAGGGAGAGAACAGAGGATGGGTCCAGCAAGAGCATCCCATGAGCAAGGAGGACAAACAGAGAGGCAAAGCAGACTGAAACAGTGAGAGCTATGGGTCACAAGGCAAAACACTGCAAGAGTGTCCTCTAAAAAGCGGGATACCTCCTCTGTGCTGAGGAATGTGAAGCTATTCTCTCTCTGGCAAGGGACAGACATTATACATAACCCAGTGTAAGTGATCAGAAACTGATTTCAACCTGTGACAGAACAGATGCTCAGTACATATAAATCAGTTTGAAAATGTCTGAAACCAGTTTGAGATAAACCTGGTTGAATGTAGACTTAACTGGTTGAATCAGACTTAACTGATTTGGCTCAAACTGGTTTTTGCAATGTCTGTCCCAGAACCCTTGCTGGTTTAAGTTAAATCTGAGTCCCCCAGCATCCCAGCATGCTCTCTGGGCTGGGCAGGCCTCTCTGCTCCACAGCAGGGCTGGTCCCTCCGCTCTGTTCCTTGGATGGAGCTCAGCACAGACTTGCAGGCACGGTAGGGTCTGCCTGGCTTCCCTGTGCCCCCCTCTCTCCACTCACTGCTTAAGCAGAGATCCCTTCCTCCTCTCTGCAACAGCAGGGACCGTAGCCAGCATGTGGCATGCCAGCTAATGTGAAAGGTGTCTCTGTGTGCGTCTCTCCAATAGGCTGACAGAATAGTGACCGCTTAAGGCTTTTGGAGCTAATCAACAGGTCAACTGGTAAGCTGTTTAAGAAACGTGAAGTAATGTGGAGAGAGGCAATTGTTTTGCTAATTGGGTGATAAAAACTGTTATCAGCCCCCCCCCCCCCCCCCCCTGTTCCCCCCCCCCCCCCCCCCGCTGGCTTGCTTGTCTGTTAGTTTGCTGCAGACGGTATGAGGAAGCGGGGAGGGAGACTGAAAAGCTTCATATCATCAACAGATGCATGCACTGCACCCACCCCTTGCCTCAGAGTGCTAGGCCAGGACTGGGGGCTGGCAACACTCCCGCCCCTTGAGCAGCCAGCAGGGAAAAGCCTGGGAGGTGCAGGCAGACATCCCTAATGAGAGAGTCCTGCCAGACCTGGTCGTGCTCCCCTCAGCTCAGCCCTCTGCAGAAGGGAAGGGAGGGCTGCTCTAGCACCCCCCACCCCCCAGCTTCTAGCCTGAGTCCAGTTTCAAACCAGTTCAGTCTAGTCAGGTTAGACTAACCTGCAAAGATTGAATCAATTCAGGCTCAGGCTTTTTGAATGTCTGTTCCTAGCCTCTAAGACCTGAAAGAGAAATAGATGTGTAGCACCTGGTTTACTAGGTGTAAGGACAGTGGACAAACTAAGGAGTGCAGGACAGGGAGAAGAGTCTTGATGTTTCCTGATGACATGTAAGTGGAACAGGGTTGATAGATGGGCACAGACGTCAAGGCAGAAGCCACAGAGAAGATTCTTTCATCAGGGTAGTAATGGTAAGTGAAGTGGGAGGTGGGGGGCACAAGGCTAGTGAAAGGTGAGCACAGTAGTTAAGAGAAGAACAAGCCTATGAAGTAGATAGGAACGTATCTGTGAAGGTTAAAATACAGAGTGTACCAGTGTTCCCTTCCCCATTACTTGGTGAATTGATTACAGCATGTAAGTGCCTTTACAGGCAGAGAATACCAGGTACTAACAGGCTTTTCAGTCTAGACGAAAAGGGCACAGCAAGAATCAATGCCTGGAAGTTAAAGCCAGACAAGTACAAACAAGAAACAAGGCACTATTTTTAACTATGAACCACTAGAACAAACTGCGAGGTAAGAGAAGTGGTGAAACTACCTGTCAGTGTCTTCATATCAAAACTGGATTCTTTCTGGAACATATACTTTAGCACACCATCAAGCCCAAGCAAACCAAGTAAGTTTAATGGCCTGTGATTTACAGAACGCTAAAAAGGGTAATCTAATAATCGCTTCTGTCCTTAAAATGCCAGGATACGTGAACATCCTAGCTGAGGAGTTGCTATGAGGTCAAAACAAGAACATGTGAAGAAAGATTTTAGCGTGGTTGAAGATTTGCACACTCTGGGCCATGCATGGGAGAGCAGGACGTGCTCAGAGCACTGCTGTGTTCTGGTGATCCGCGGCTCCCAGATCACTTTTGAGAGGTGCTGTCAATTGGCACAAGTGAGAGCAACTCTCAGGCTGGCCTAGAAAAAGACAACCTCCCTGGTCCAGGGGGTTACAATCTCACTTTGGAAGGCAGAGCAGACTTGACTTGCAGTGGGGGGACAGAGAGCTAAAGGACAAGGATCACAGCAGAAACATCACACAAGGACTCGCTTCTGGCACAGACACATCCTGATGGTTCCAAGCTACTATGCCCTGTTTTTTCAAATCCTGTCTCAAGGCTCACTTCTTCCGTGAAGCCCAGAAATGATTCAGTGAGCAGGATTAATTGCTTTACACGCAAGGTGTCAGCAAACCGTAACTATCATTGCTGCACTGCATGTAGCTGTTTCCTCCACACCCGCTGACATCCAGAATGCCCACATTCACACTCACCACAAAGGGAAGCAGGCACTCGTGCTGGTTCTGAACCACGTACAGGCTGAGCAGTGGGATGCGACAGGGCCCTGCCAAGCTACACGCCAGGCAGAATACGTTTTCCAGTGCTTCGCAAAGCTTGGAGCAGGTGTTGGCCCAAAAAGGTGGCACAGCCTCCACAACAAGGATCCGTGAGGGCTGCCAGGAGTTTGGTTTGCCAGCTAGGTACCCTCTCCTCACTTCCGAAAATGTGTTTCTGGAATTCATGGCCTCCAATCATCCATCCGCCCCTGAGAAGGGAAAAGACAGGAAGCTGGAATGAGTGAGACTGCCATTGTGTGATATAGGGTGAAATACAGTCCAGGTCCAGCTGAAAACAGTGGGGAAGGAAGGCAAAGCCACTAGAGCAGCAGTGCTCAGCCATCCACCCCTGAGGCTGGATGAGTGACAGGGGCCCGTCCGCACGAGATCCCACAGGCCACAGGCACTGCGGGGTCAACACGCGGGGTTGTTCCACGGGTGTGACTCTTCCAGATCCGGGTGCAGAGCAGCCCTGCATGCTGGCCCAACCCCACATAACAGATCTGGCTGTAGAGTGACCCCATGCATGGGGCCATATTGTCTAGCCCGCAGGGTTCCCCGTGGGTCTGGAAATCTGGCAGCCCGGGAGCGGTGGCAGCATTAATTGCTGTGGCTTCCAGAGCTGCAGCAAGTAACACTCCCTGGTTGCCAAATTTCCAGACCTGTGGTGTGCCCCATGAGCTAAATCTGGCCTGCAGGCCAGAGACTGAGCACCTCTGACTTAGAGAGATGGGAAAACACAGAATCGTAGAATCGAAGGACCGGAAGGGACCTGTAAGATCAAGTCTGGTCTCATGCCATAGCCAGGAGGTAGTTGGGCTCAAACAAGCTCAATGAGGTGTGTGTCCAGTCTCTTCTTGAACACCTCCAGGGATGGCAAGTGCACCACCTCCACTGATGGTGTGTACCAGATTCTAGATACCCTTGCAGAAAATAAGTTTTTCCTTACACATCCTTACAGATGTCCACATGGCACCAGTCCGCCTACAATTAGTTCTGAAATAGTGAAGGAGCTCCTGAAGGAGATGGATGGGTGCAAGTCAGCAGGCCTGGATGACCTCCATCCACGGCTGCTGAAAGAATTGGCCGGTGTCATAGCTGAGCCACTGGCACAGCTGTTTGAGCACTCGTGGTGCTCCGGCCAGGTCCCTGAGGACTGGAGAAGGGCCAATGTGGTGCCCATTTTCAAGAACGGGAAAAGGGATGAGCTGGGTAACTTTAAACCAGTCAGTCTTACCTCTCTTCCTGGGAAAAAGCTAGAGAAAATAATCAAGGAACACATTTGTGCAGGCCCAGCAGGGGAAACGATGCCGAGGGGAAACCAGCATGGGTTTGTCACAGGTAGATCCTGCCTGACAAACCTTGTAGCCTTCTATGACCAGGTCACGCACTGCCTGGATGTGGGAGCCGAGGCTGATGTCATCTTCCTGGACTTCAGGAAGGCCTTTGACACAGTCTCACACCCTATCCTCATTGGGAAGCTAGCAGACTGTGGCGTGGACGCCTACATGGTCAGGTGAGTGGCCAACTGGCTTAGGGACCGCACCCAGAGAGTGGTGCTGGATGGGTCCTTCTCGGCCTGGAGGGAGGTGGGCAGTGGGGTCCCGCAGGGTTCAGCCCTCGGACTGATATTATTCAATATCTTCATCAGCGATTTGAACAAGGGTGTGGAGACCACCCTCTCCAAGTTCGCTGATGACACCAAGTTATGGGACAAATGAAGTACACCGGAGGGCAGGGAGCAGATTCAGGCTGACCTGGACAGGTTGGATCAATGGGCAGAGAGAAATAGGATGCCATTTAACAAAGATAAATGTAAGGTACTCCACCTGGGAAGGAGGAACCCCCAGCACACCTATAGGTTAGGGAGTGTCCTTCTCAGCAGCTGGGAGGCAGAGAGGGATCTTGGAGTCAGAAATTGACTCCAAGATGAACATGAGCCGGCAGTGTAACGAGGCCATCAACAAGGCCAATCGCACCTTGTTTCCAGAGCAGGAAATACAGAAATAAGATCTATGGCAGCACAACCATACTCTGCTCCCCTGGAGCTGGCCAGGGCCACTGGGAACCCGCCTCCTAGCACGCTGGCTGCATTTGCTGTAAGCTCTACTGAGTAGTGAAGGGGTTGGTTTAGCAGCTTAGCAGAGCTGTGGCTGGGATACCTGGCAGCTCACATGGGAAGGAAGAGAGAATAGCAGAGCCCCACTTCCCCCCAGGTCACACATGGGGGTAGGGAGAGGGTCAGGACTCCCGCAAATCCTAGTGTGCTCACAGGACAGGGAAATGGATCTGGGAAGCCTCCCTACCCCACCCCTCCCCACCCTCATGCTCCCTCCCAGGATCCTATCACTTCCCTCGCACTTCATCTCATCCCTACCCCTTCCCGCTGGCCTCAGCTCCCAAACATTACCCCTCTCTTGCCACATGTCACAGTTCGTTCCCCTCCACTTTATTCCCTTACCCTATCTGTCCGGTCCTCCATCACTCAGCCTCCTCTCACCTCCTAGCAACCGTTCAGATATGCAATTTATTTTCTTTTTGAAAATACGTTGAGTGTTTACAATGATCAGAGTGCTTCTTCTGTACGACCACCCACTCCCTTCCACCCCCAGATAGAGACATATTGTACCAGCCTGCCTGCAGCTTTTTCTAAGACTTCTGCCAGGGACACATGCTGAACTTACACTGTGTGGATGGAGCACTGGGTCTAGTATCACAGCAAGTCCCCTTGAGCCATAAAGGTTAGACGAAAACTGGGATGCCAGGAACCTCCTGGTTACCCCTTCTGCCTTTCTGCACACGCACACTGCAATCTGTCAGGCACATACATGCTGACTGTACATGAACTGGGAGAGGTGTTGGGGTATGCCTCCTCAGCCGCACCAAGGCAGTCTGGCCAGGAAAGCAAAAAAAAACCCCCAAAACCTCAGTGTGGGCGAATTTGTCCCATTTCCTAGGTCACCTTTGGAAGAGCTCACCCAGACATGACATCCAGTGACATCGACTGGTATCTTGCCTGCGCAAAGGTCAGTTTGTACCATTAATGGAGACCTTAGGGTTCACAGGTCTTCCCCACAGAAGCACACATTACGATGGGGCTCAGCCACTGCTGTGATGTGATCTCTTTTCCCATGGACTTTTTGGGGTCAGTTCTGATGGGGGATGGGGAGGGTGGGCAGAAAGGGAATATAAACTGTGTGTGGACAAACCAGAGGAAATGTAACACAGCCAGCGGCCCAGAATAAATGCTCCAGGGCTTGGCTCAAAGGCTGAAAAGCAGAAAATTCACAGACTCATGAACAGTTCTTGAATGTGACTTTTGTTCCTCCCCAACCCCCCATTTCCCTTCCACACATGCATCTTAAGCACAACAGCCAGCATTTTCCTGTGAAAAAAATGTCCTTTCCTTCCTTCATCAGGAACAAAGATAGTGTCTAAAAATCTCCTCCCACCTCACTGAATGCTTCTGCTCAAACCAAGCCATGCTCCTTCTAGAGGTAGTGAAACTGCTTCACTGAAGGTATTTTACTGATTGTGACTTAATAAAGCACCTGAATGCCCTTATACCCAGGACAGTGGCTGTGTAATGGTACCATTTAATAGTACATATTGACTCACTGAGAGCCATAAAAACGGAGCCCTGCCCAGCTGTGTAAATCACAGTTCCAGTGACATAGTGAAGTGACGCTGGATCTGCACGGAGGTCATGCTGGCCAGCGCCTGGGCCTGTGTGCATCACTTACTGGGCTGATAAACTCAGGTGAGTCACACACTGTTTTAACTTCTCCAAGGGGAACAGTTTGTGTATTTGCTACTGGCCTCCTGGAAGGAGCTGAGCACTCTCTCCTGCTTGTACTCCAGACCCAAGACCCCTGTAGCTCTTGAAGGCACTCTTTGCGAGGCGCTCTCTCCTCCTGGACTACTGCCGTGTTAAAAGAGTCTCAGATCTTCATCAGTAGTGACAAGGCAGAAACAACGCAGCTGGATTCTCAAATGCCAGGCTAAGATCTCAGGGCTGGTGGCGGTTAAAACACATCTTGCTTTGGTTTGTCACTGCACCAAAACTCATCTGAGAATGCAAAACAGCCAGATGTCCCTTTATCTAGTCACGCTATTTGATTTTTTCTGACTGAAACTACTTTGCTGCATCTGAGAACTGTCTCTGCTCGTTGCTCTCTCTTTGTGAGGATACTTCTTTCTCCATCTCCAAACCCAGTTCCCTCTCTTATGAGATAGCAAAGCCTAGCTGATGCAGTCAGAAATGCAAAGAGCAACTGTTGTTAATTTATGCAGCTTTAAGGAAGAAAGCTGAGCCAGGTAAAGCGTATGGCACGCAGTACTCCCGACTTTTACTGTCATTCTTGACACTACCGTGTTTTAAGTGGCTTCAGAAAAATGGATCACTCTCTAGCTGTGTTCCCTTGCCTCAGCTGAAAGAGTCACGTTACCTTGTTAATCAGGGTGTCTTCTAAAACAGCCTACACTCCACATTATCCATGTGTTTCAGGAGAAATGTATTGTGGATTATGCCCAAAGCAGGCCACCTACCCTTCTCATATTTTATACTAATTATCCTGGGCTGTGAAAATGTTAGCATGATATCTGGGGTATAAGTTGTAGCCGTGTTGGTCTAAGGACGTTGGCGGACAAGGTTATTTGGGTGAATCTGATAACTTTTATTAGACCAACTAAAGAGTTGGAAAACATTTTCTTAGCAAGCTTTTGAGTTTAAAAACCCTTCATTAGGCTGAGGAAGCATCTGCAGTTGGCATCAAACAACTGCAGATGCTTCCTCAGCCTGACAAAGGTTTTTTAAACCTGAAAGCTTGCTATGAAAAAAATCCAATTATTTAGCATGATAGCTGACATTCTGTGCTGGTTTAATTAGTTCGTATGGTAAAATTAGATTATCTGGTAACCAGCAGGTGAGTCTGCCAGGAGGTGACAGTATAGTTTAGCATGTCTAGAGCAACCTGCCAGTTCTAGCAGCTGATATGAAATAAGTTTATTGTGCAACACAATGGGACACTTAACTGTCAGAACTAGTTGCTAATGGTAGTATAGATTTTGCTTGGTGTACCTAGAGATCAAGCTATCAGAGCTAGAAATAATAGCCTAATAGAAGCAGACAGAAGCAAAGCGTGCCAAAGCAGGCCGGCTGCAACTTCTAGTCACACCCCACGTAA